TAGGTGATGAGTGAAGAACAGAACAGAATCCATTTCCTCTTCAAACTGCTGTCAGACATTATCTACTGCACTCTGATCACATCACTCAGACCAGCTGCTTTCTGCTAAGTCTCATCAACAACATCTTTAGAAACAAACATCAACAACCAGGAAGCAGCTTCACCTCTGATCACACTCACACTGAACTCTACTCACTCACCTGAAACAGTCAGGCTGACGGTGTTGATGGTCTCCCATGACCTTGTCTCTCCACTGAAGACACGACACTTGTATGTTCCAGTGTCATTAATTGTCACATCCTTCAGAATCAAAGACCAGTTTCCATCCTTCATCTTCCTGTCCTGCAGATCCACCCGGTTCATAAAAGATGGATGCTGACCATCAGGATCAAACTGCTTGTCTCTGTACGAAAGCACATATTCATCTCTCAGGTCAGCTCTGTTCCACTCCACACCTATGATGTTGTTTTTTGGAGCTCGACATGTAAAAACGATGTTCTGTCCAGACTCAGCTGTGATGGTTCTTTGGTCTGAAAGAGGAAACAACACAGAGCAGAGAGGTTATATTACACATTGTTCACACTGAGAGTTGCTGTGTTCAGTGATACTGAAGAAAATGAGAGCTGTTATCATTAAGAGGATGAGGAGAAGATAAAGGTGCTGCTGAGCTACAGTAAGTGTAATCTAAGAGGAGGAAAAAACTGTTTGTTCCAGCTATCATTAAAGCGAAAAATGCTGCTAGCACATTTAGTGCCACTGCACACCCACCCTCAGCAGATCTAACTTTAATTATGTTGAAGCCAAAGTGTCTTTTCTGTTTTTGTGTTTTCTCTCCTTTTATAGTTTGGAGCATTTTTCAAAAAGCCAGAATCTCCTATTTCCATAGCACAGGGTTAGATTAAGGCTTTAACCCTCAGAGGGTTAAAACAGTGCTGTTTGTACCACTTTTTACAATAACCAAAGAGCTCATTATTTATAACAGCAGAAGTCATATAAACACCAGCGATTCAATGCAGTTTTAAGAAGTGGTCCTTAAAGCCGGAGGTATACAAACTGTGCTGACTACACCCAGGGAGATTTATGATGTAACACATCTCCAGAAACCTGGAGGACTTAGGCTACGTCGCTGGGTTTTCGTTTGAAAACGCATCGCTTTCTCTCTGTTTTGGCCTCTTGTCCACACTGAGACGGCAACAGTGTTTATTTTCATTCAAAGGCTTTATGATTTTTCCTATAGTGGTGGGCCGATCTCTAGTCAAAATGCCCGGGCCGATTTTTTTCACCCAGTCCACCCCTGTATGCAGCTCATCTGCAGTCTGGTGTTACCTACATCTTCCTATTCAGAAGGCAGAATTTCCGAGTTCTGAGTACAATCGAAAGCACCACGACTGCAGTTTTTGTGTTGGATGTAAAAAGCATGCTAGAATCATGCAGCGGTCAACGACGGTCCAGGCGTGGGATTTCTCTCATGGAAATATGCACATTATTTTTTACTTTCTATTGGTAGGTGGCACAGTGCACTTGTGGCAAGTAAGCAAGCTAGAAGACTGGCAAAGTTATGGAAGCAACACATTAGCAAGAGAATTCTGAGTAAAACCAAAGTTTTAACTAACTAACTGTGGATGATGAATTATGTAGAAAAAGTAGAATTGGGCTGAAAGATCTATCGCTTTATCACCTCTTCAGGTTGTAAATCATGTTTTTAAAAAGTAACTAAGTAACTAACGATGTTAGTTTTGGCCTCTTGTCCACACTGAGACGACGTTTTCGCTGATGGAAAATGCAGCATTTTAGAAACCTCTTGAAAACGCATACATTTGAAAGCTGTTCTTTCACTTCGCAGTGTGAACATTAAAAATGGAGACTTTCTATAACGATGACGCATATTAGTCATATGATGCAGTCATGTGACCAATTAAAGTAAGATAGCGGAGGGCATTATACAGCAGTTGTTTTGTTTGCTCTCAATTTTGACAGCCCTATTAAAGATTAATATCAGTTTGTACATGCTTCAGATTGCTTTTCTTCAAATTCTTTAATTCTCACTCGCTTTTG